CCCCCCCCCCAGGGGTCACACCCCACAGTTTGACAACCACTGGCATATGGGAACACCTATCTTTCCAACAGTTACTTAGACATGGCAGCAACCGTGTTAACTACATAACAGCATGGAAATGTAACCACAGAATGTTTCATTGCCAGTTGCACACCATCTTAAACATGGCAACATAGGATTGGTCACGGTTCTCAAATAAGATGCACAAGAATTCAGTAGAGAAATGATCATTTTAGGCACTATCTATTAGGGTCCTGAAGGATTCGACCGTGTGGGTTTTGGTATGTTTGTGTTTCACATGTGACCATACAGATTTAAATTTCACAGGTTTATGTTTAAACAGTTTCATTAATTAGCACTGAGTGTGAAACCAGTGACAGGTCTGTGAACGTTGGATCATTTGGATAGACTTCAGGCTTCAGAGCGTTAAATTACCTGCTCTATTTGTATCAGGGTGCAGTGAATTTAAATTGTGTGGCAGAGGGTTGACCAAATTGAAGACATTCTCCCACTGGAATCTGCAGTTGGAGGCTGAAGGAGGAATCTAAGTCAGGCAGGCAGCAAACCTGTAGGTGGTGCATTTTAAAGTGTGGTAAACCACTGGACACAGCACTTGATTACTTTGTGAAGGGAGTCTTGAAGTTTGCATGGGACTAAGTATGTGATTTCTGTTTTAAGCAAGCAGAAAAATTTTGGAATTATTAAGGCCTTGCTTCTGAATTGATGTAAGTTGCCATTTCTGAATGCTTTTCATATGATGTGCCCCTTGGTCTCAGAGTGAAACTTAACCTGCCCCTTTTCCATGGAAACTTCATTTCTGTCTCAAGCTACATGTTGTCATGCATTATAAATACAGTGTAAAGAGAGTACAGACTCGTGGGTTGTAATGCCATGTAGTTTGCAGAGAGTCCAATGTTTTGCAGGAATGTAATGCCTTCATCAGGGTTGAAGCCATGCAAGAAGCCATCAGAAGCACTGTTGCCTGCTTCTGGTTATGTTTGATAGTGTTACCTGCACTTTGTGAGGCCGCACTGACCCTGTGAGTGTACATGTATCCCTGGTTTAGAACATTTGTCCTAAGACATAGGGACTTAACATTCTGCTGTTTTCATAAATATACTTGTGACATGCCATAGCAGCAATTGGTAAATTGTGAAACAGGTCCCTTGAATTCTGACTGGAGCTGAAATGCATCTGTTAGCAGACTGTGAGGCTGGTTCACCTAGAAGCAGTGGAGATTGTGTTGAAACTGCATGACGTCAAGTGAAGGATCTCCATCACTGCCTGTGAGAACACTTCAGGCTGGCAACACAGGGAGTGTTGCTACTGAGAGCTGTCATGAGGTAACCAGTTGACTGTGATGTCTTTTTGTCAGTTGGGGGGAAGGGTTGCGAACATTTTTATCAAGACCACCAAACTCATTGACTGGGGAAGGACCAAACACAGGACGATCTAGTTTCCATTGGTGTAGGAAGTCTAATGGTAGAATATTCCTTTGATAATTTTCAGTGAATGCATCCTGTTGTGTATCACATATTATTTCTTGACGAAAACCATCACAACACAACAATCAATGATACGTGTAAGTAGCTCTAGGAGATTCTTTTGCTACATGTTTCAGCCTTCAAAAGGCCATCATCAGGCAAATACATTAAACTTTTCATTATTGAATTGCATGTCAAATATAGAATACGGTACTAGACTTCCAAGTGTATACAATGGTATAAAATGATATGTGTGAATATAAAATATAAATTACAGTATGACTTAAGACTTCAACTTCTATTCTAATTTATATTTTATATTCACTTGTATCATTTTATACCGAATCCCCTTCAGAGTAGCTCCTTGTGACTCCACACCCTTAGCCAAGCGGTCCTTCCATCACTGGAAGCAATTCTGGAAGGCTTCTTATGGAAAGGTATGCAGCTGCACTGTCATGTACTGTATGATGTCCTCGCGGCTGTCAAAACGGGAGCCTTTTAGCGGTGTCTTCAATCTTGGGAACAGCCATAAATCACAAGGAGCGATTTCAGAAGAGTAGGGAGCCTGGTGAACCTGCGGAAACCCTGGAGCTGGGGTGTTGTCATGATGCAGCTGCCAGTTGCGTGTGTCCCACAGTTGTGGTCTCTTGTGCCGAACTGCATCATGAAGATGGCGGAGGACTTGTTGGTAATACTCCTTATTGACAGTTTGGCCTAGTGGTGCATACTCATGATGCACAACACCCTGGTAATTGGGGGGGGGACACAGTCAGTATCACCTTCACATTGCTCTGAACCTGTCATGCTTCTTTGGGCCTTGGGGATGTTGGATGCTTCCATTGTGATGTGGGGGGGCGTCACAGTCAGTATCACCTTCACATTGCTCTGAACCTGTCATGCTTCTTTGGGCCTTGGGGATGTTGGATGCTTCCATTGTGATGCCTGGACCTTTGTTTCCAGGTCATATCTGTACATCCTGCACTCATCACCAGTGATCACAGTCTTCAGGAACTGAAGATCCCTGTTGGCACACTCCAGCATGCCATACAGCCATCTTTAAAGTGGTTGAACCATTCTTTAATTTGAGTGACCCCCATTGCATTATCGCCATAAGTCTGCTGAATTTTGCGGATTGTTTCCGCTTGGGTAGCCCCAAGTTTCTGACAAACCTTGATGCAGTATCACTGCTAAGGGTACACTTCTCTGATCAGTTATTCTTGGTAGGAGTTTTCACATAGTTCAGTGATGATGACAGTTATAGGAACTTTTACAAGCTGTGTCATGTCAAAAAATGTGTTTCTTTCAAAATGTGAGTTTCGGCTATGAAGCAATTCACAGGCATAGGGGTATAAAATTTGACAGTTTCATTCATTCCAACAGGCTGCAGAAGCTTATCAAATTTCACTGTAATGTGAAAGTAGCACTTTAGTGTGCCCAGTTATCATGGAATGAAGAACTTTGCTAGGTGTACGTGCAAGGTAGACATTTGAGACGACAATGGTTACAGTGTTTATAATGGATAAGTCCTTCATTGTAATTTGTGGCCAGGTAATAAAAGTCACATTTGATGGGGACGCAGTTTGCATAATGACAAAATGTTGAACACCCACTGAATTGCTGTTTCCAGTCTTGTAGCTTCCTTCACTCCCACCAGTTGCAAGAGGCAAGTGAGCAGAAATAATATGTGCACAGACTGGTGAGGAAAACGTAAAACACTTGGGATCTGTTGTTCCCATATGCAGACTGCTAGAATATACAAGTATGTCAAAGAATGTAATAAGTAGGGCTCGGATTTCTATGACATGTCATATTTTTACATGTATAATTAAATATAAATGCATTTCTGACTCTTGTGAACATGAAAATACAGTTTTTATTGGTCATATAAATGCATCTTTGAACCATATTTTAGCTTTAGGTCATATTTGGGCCCAAAGTGATATAAAATCATATTTTTGGTCATATTTTAGGCGAGTTCCACTTATTGCTCAGAAATATATTTGCAAGTATTGGCAGTGATGTTATTTGGAACTTCATTTCTTAGAAATATTTGGCCTTGTGTAACGGGATTTGAAGGAATACTGTACAGTGTGAAGGGTAACGGTTCTTGACCTGGCGTAGAATCAGCCACTTTGAAAAGAGAAACTGCCATCTCTGCCTTGTCTGTCTGTCTCTCTTTTTTTCCTCCACCTCAGTGATACCTGAAGCCCAGTTTGTTTCTTGCATATTGGTGAAAAATTTTTCCATCCACAAAGCGGTAAATTTCTACCCTCTCCCCGAAACCCGTCCAATACAGTACTGTATTCATAACTTCAGTTGTTCAGTATAGTTTCAAGATGCCTAAAGTCAAGTGCTCTAATAGC